GCTCATAAGAATACTTAAAGCGAGGGATTGTGGTAACATGCTTGTTTACATCAGAATATTGTTGAAAAACAAAAATGGAATCAACTGGCTATGACTTGCCATGCATTCATTCCGCTCAAAATCTAGACGGCATTTGAATGGTGCAGCCTATGAACGTACTTTAATTGAGCCATTGCGATAACATTGGGTTGGTTCGTCGCTGAGTCGTCTTGTTGACGCCAGAATTGAGTTGAGGAACAAGATCAGTGGAAGAGATTGTCGTTGTGTGGAGTTTGTTATAGCTAAACATCGCCCTTATTGTACCAGTTAAAGTCTATTTCTATTCCAACGATGGTAGTGATGGGCAAAAAGATCAAGCTAGGATGAGACTCGGAACCACAGCTGTGGTTCTGTGTAGCATTTTTATGCAATACGTGTCATCTTCACCAGACCCTTCCTTGGATGCAGCGAAATATTTTTTTTGCAGTCAAGTTTTGGTTTCAAGATCAACAATTCTAGTTTCTCAATTGGTAAGCTGTGTGTAATATGTATTAATTGATACTCCATGGATTTCAGGGCAAATTTCCTCTTATCTTTGGCCTCGATCGGTTTGATGTTCGCCCTCATATCGACTCCACACACTCGAGCAAATGAGAAAAAGAGACTGGCATTCTTCTTCCTGTTTTGCGGCATTTCTGGTAAGTTTTCTTCCACGTATCGTAGCAAAATGCCTAGTGCCTGTATTTCTCTTACTTGTTATACCACAAGTCAGATGTCTTTCTTTCTTGAGCTCCTTGAAACTTGATCAAGTCCTAAGCAGCTGAAGTCCTAATTATCCGATTGACTGAACTTTTTATTATAGATCTACTGCAAGAGCTTGACATTTATTCGTTATTTTTTATCACGCTCAAAAAGAGCTGTACAAAGCAAGACAAAAGCTGTAGTTTCACTGGTGCGATGAACAAAGTTTAGAAAAAGTAAACATCCTGCGAATTTCCTTTTTTTCCTCAAAAGGATAGTAGAAGAAACAAAAAATTCTAAGCTTATTGGCATAAACAAACCAGTCGCATTTTCGTAAAACAAAAAAAAGAAAAGTTTTTGAGCTCTAGTTTGCGCCATCGACGTAGAAAAATAGCAGGCTTCCAACCTCGGACCCAATCTGAAAATTTGTCCATTTATATGTAAAAATCGTGTTTTCAGGTGTGAGCATGGGACCTCTTTTGGAGCGTGTGATTGCGATAGATCCATCATGTGTGTTGACAGCCTTGTTGGCGACGACTACAGTGTTCGGATGCTTCTCTCTTGTTGCTCTTCATGCTCCATCAACGAAGTACATACATATGGGAGGTTAGTGTAAAACGATTTCATGAAGACACCGAATGTCAAAGACTCTGCAATTGGAGCGATCGGTCAAATGCCAATCGCGCGACCATCGCGCGATTCGCGCGACGATCGCGCGATTGACATGCCTCCCATCATGACCAATCGCTCCAATCGCGCGATGGGCGCGATCACTCCCGTTGTGGCTGGCGCGCCCCACCTCCGATCGATACGTTGACTGAGGCTATCGATCGAGAGGGGCGCGCCACCAGCCACAACGGGAGTGATCGCGCCCATCGCGCGATTGGAGCGATTGGTCATGATGGGACTCATGTCAATCGCGCGATCGTCGCGCGAATCGCGCGATGGTCGCGCGATTGGCATTTGACCGATCGCTCCAATCGCCAGACTCTGACATCGGCCCACAGTGTTTTTTCCTAATATTTGAAGAATGTTAATATTCCTGGTATTTGGTTTCCAAGCAAGGACTATTTTTGAATAGGCCCTGCAATATACACCCATCGATTTGGCATATCATGAAAATATGATCATATTCTTGTTGTTTACAGGTACTCTAGCTTCTGCTGCACTGTGCCTACTGTTCGCCACATTCTTTGCGTCATACTACGTCATCATCCTTGGAGGTTGGTTATAGGAGAATTTATGCCTTACTAGTGACTCAAAATGGACCTCGCTGATGTCCAGCATAATTTTATGTTTTAGTAAATTTGATTTGCTTCAAGAAGAACGTTTGTGTTTGAAAGTTTTATCATTTTATTTCAAGGGCTCGCTTTGTCGTGCGCATTTGTGGTTTATGATACTCAATTGATCGCGGAGAAATCTCGCCGTGGAGACGATGACTACATCTGGCACTCAGTGGAGCTGTTCATCGATTTTGCCAACATTTTCAGGTGTGTTCATTTTTCAGTTATTTACCTCCTTTTCAAAAAAATAAAAACAGACACCGTGCAATATTTTATCTTTCTCCCAGCCATCGTCAGATTTCCCATAGAGCTCGTGTACAATGGCATGCATTGGCTTCTCATACATATTACCTTTTTTCCTCAATCAAGTCTCATGACTATATTGAGGAAAAGAAAAATTGTCATCAGTTTATGGATATCCGTGCTAAAGATCGAAAAATTTCGATTTGCTAGTTTTTCTTTCATTCTTTGCAACTTCCTTCTTTAGTCATGCTCAACTTATACTACTTTTTTCTTCGTATTTCTATTTATTCGAGTAAACCCGACACTGACAGGAGTTTTGCCGAGCATTTTCTTCAGTTTTTGACAACAACTAACCAGAAATATGAAGTTCACTGAATGTGAAATTAGAGCAATCGTTTCTATCTACTAACACATTGTGTGCCGCGACGCATGTTGACCACATGGAAAGAGCGTTTTTTTTTTGAGCTGTTCAGTATTTTTGAGAGATTGATTATTATCAAATTTTTTTCATAAAAAACATAAAAGGTATGAGGTGCATGTGGTATGGAGGTTCGGCGAATGAGCTTGAAACGTTTGCTACCCCCCCGCCCCACTTCTAACTGCCGCGCGATTTGATCAGCATCGTATTACAGTGGTTCCACATTGTCCGTCAGAATCGCTCTCTAAAGGAATCGTATTCGAAGCCCGCATCGAGACTTATAAAATGTGTGTTGGTAAATTCACAAGAACGCATCGAGGCAAATGTGTGTCTTGTATTCCACAAAAGAAAAGTAGCAACAGATAATAATTTTATAACGGCGCGGTAAGTGATAGCAATAGGCAGCCTGATATTCTAAGATTGGCGTTAACGATTTATTTTCCCGCTTCGTCCTGGCTATCAAGTCCCTCCAGATTACCTACTGCTCCGAATTTGCATAAGAAGACAAAAACATTAATGACCTTAATAGTTCACAATGCAGGCTTATCCGCATTGTAATGTCGCTGGCAATTTGAGTAGGCGTCGAATGCATAGCACATGCTAGAGTAAATTTCGAAGGCCGGCATGGTTGTTGCTTTATTTGGTGGCAAGTATACTCGTTTGTCAGCCATGGATAAAAAGGGTGTATAGAAAAGCAAAGAAGTTTAGAAAATTCCTGCATGATGTCTATCATAAATGGTACACTTAAACCTTAAAGTCCTAATGAACATCAAGAAGCTGATTAATTTCTGTCAAATTTGTCAGTCTTGTAACTAGCTCAATACTCGTATTTCAGATATCTTGTCGTTCTTCTGGCCGATAAGAAGGAGAGAGATAACAGAAAGAGAAGGGATTAATGACGACTCCTTACCTCCTCCATTTGACTGTGTACGCTTTCGTACTTATCATGCTCGATATAGTATTTTCACAGTTTTATGCTTTTCTTACTTACATAAACACGATACGATTTTCTTTTGCTTGTACTCTTCATCAATGTAATATTTGCTGTTTAGCTGTGTGTGGTGGTTTGATTGCTATCCTAAGATGAAGATTTTTCGGACAGTTATCATTCCATTCAAGGTTCATGTGCTGTAAAAAGTAATGCAGATATTATGTAGCAAAGTAAATATGCCAAAATAAAGTGGTCATCTCGAAATAATGATTTGTGATCTCTTGAACAATTGAGGAATAACGGAATGATTGCGCCGTGAAAGCGAATGCTTAACGAGAATTCTGGTTCTGAATAAAGGGGTGATACGTGATTCAAGTTAAGGAAGCAGAATTTATGACCTAGTAAACATTATTGATCAACGACTCAGGAGTAGGATCCTCGATCAGGAGTAGCTATATACAAACAACTAACAATAAGTAAGAAGTCGGATTCTACTGAGAATAAAGGAATTAGGGTTAGAATGAACACAAAAAGATAGGACCTAGTTTCAGTTTTCAATAGCGCTTCTAGTCAATCTTCTTCTTGAGACTCGCTAACCGTGCTAAATTTCTTTCACGTTCAGCTTTCATCGCTGCAAGTTGATCGAGTGGCATACTGCGATTCAAAAACGTTTCCAATTTTTCCAGGACGGGTGCCTCCTTGAAGGTTGGCATGGGACCTTGATCGGCCAGAACCCGTCGAATACCATCACCGTAGCGAGTAAAGTAGTCTCGAACACCTTAAAGAGTGATATGAAGGGTCGCAGCTCTTAAAGTGTGTCTGTACCGTTGCCTACTTGCGGCCAGCAGTCCGCGTGAGCAGCCGATTGCAAGCCGGCAGAGTATAGACGTGCTCATACGTCTAAGCTTGTCGTTTACAAGTGTGTAAGAAAATCTTGACTATGTCTGCAAACACATACCGTTCGCGTTCAGGTGCACAGTTTGCAAGCGGCCCATGGATCGCATAGCGCGGGCCGACGTTCCTGCCTCATCACCCTGCAATGCAATCCTTAAGTCCCTATTAGCGAGAGCAAAGAAAGACAGTGGCAACAATCACCTTATCGACGTCCTCAGGCGAAAGCACGTCATCGGCCGACAAGCCTCCACGCTTCGGCCAATAAAGCATATTGAAGGCGATTAACAGCAAAGCCGAGCGGCACCTCGTGATTGAAGAATCTGAACAAGTTCCTGTAGGAAAAACATGTTCTTATTAAGAACAGAATGCCAGGAGGGTTTAGTTACTTCTGACTCCCCCAGCGCATTTATTTCAGAAAATCGATCATCACAAGTGCGCGTAAAATCAACTATCTATGGCTCCGCGCACTTTCGAGTCGCGGCACACCTACAGTACTCGTGGACTACTCTATCCTATTCACAAAATAGGTTGCTCCACACAACCTCATTGGGGGTTGTTGCTTAAGCCTTACACTACAAAACTTACACGTAATAACTTTCGCTCAGTGTAACTACATTATTATTCTAAACGCCTAGAGTATCCATGCAGCAATAAGGTTTTGCGCTAATCAGAAGAAACAGATCGTAACACGACAGAAAAGTAGTGATAAGAGCGCGAACACAAGCGTAATGCAGCTATAAATGTGGGTAGATGCAGCGGGTTCTTTGTCTCAACGGGGAAGGTGCACCATATTCCCACATTCCATGGCATTTTCTCATGTCCTCAATGATCACAGGCATGGATCATACAGGTATGGTTCTTGCAAGCGTTAGGTTCTTGGTACGGAATGGGCCGGCAGTGAAGAAAAAACGAGAAGAATTTTCGAAAAACGCTTAGATAAGGAGCCCACCTTCGTAATGCATCTGTGCTAAAGGAATGAGATATTGTACGTGGAGAGGAGAGTATGAGACGAGAGAGCACACTAGATGAGAGGGGGCCAGATAACGGGCTGCGGGGGGGGGGGGACCTTGCAGCCGCTGCAGCTAAATTTGCAAGGCGACTCTCCCTTGTCGAGTGATTTCCATGCACGGGAGTGCCTCATCTGCGATTGTCCTTTAGGGGTCTATCCTACAGACCGTGGGGTATTTCTCAAAAGCGAGAGTTTAGCGTGGTTGAAAATGCAACGTGGCGCAAATCTCATACAGTCGAACATTTATAGGTGAGACAGAACAAGTAAGGAGCAATTGCTCGTGCGAAGGGACCCAGTCCGCCGCCATTGTGTCCAGAAGTCACGGTAACCAGCGATTCCGAGTTGGCACCAACAACGGAAAAGTCTAATTGAAAGCCTGAGAGGCGGAGACTGACAAACAACAAAATGACTGGCTTACACAATTCTGGAGTCGTTCCTCCTAAGCTTAGGCATAGTTTAGCGTATTCTGACGCATATGACAGATAGATAGAAACTCCCGCAGAGACTGTTTTGCGGACTGTTCACCAGAACTTCGATGAACTCACTTGCCCGATATTCCTCATGATTTCACATGCTTTTTGAACTGTCTGGTCATGCGTCCACGGAGCAGGAACCATTTCCACGAGTGTAAGATAAAGTGGTGGATTGACAGGATGCGCCACAATACACTGTGATCTGTAAAAAGGGCAGTCATGAGAAGTTCGTCGAAAAAAAAGCATCAAAAGGAGGATGGAACACAAGATAAACAAGTTGACAACATCAAGAGCCCATTTTATGCAGCAAATTATCCCACTACAAAAATGTTTGTGCGAGGATTCCTCTTCCAACAGCTTCTTGGGTAATAGAATTTTCTCACTGAATTCTGCGATTTACGTCCTTAATGAAGGTCAGAAGTAATGTAGCGGTGAGTGGCGCCATGCACCGCAAAATAGTCTGGTAAGCGATCATGTACCAAATTTCACCAAAGCCAGCCTGACTTTCTATCCCTCCTGGGCCCTTGACGGACTTGACGCCACTAACCGCAGTATCACTTCTGTCCTTCACTCAAGAGAGAAGGAATCGCGGGAAGAGAGCGGCGAAGCTGCGGGGTGTGCAACAGGACCCATTTTTCCCATATAGTGAAGAGGGGTGATACCTGGAATTACACAGCCACTGTTTTTTTTTTGCTAGTAATATTGAGAACGCTATCGAGACAAATCCAAACCAGAGGATCTCAAGAAGGATAGTTTCTTTAGTGAATTCGATCTGTCAATTCGATGTTATAGCCGGTGAGGAGGTCAGAGCACTCACGACAGAAGAACCGCCTAACATTGTTGAAGGCAGCGATCAGCAATAGATTCTGCAGGGGTTCAGAGGGGACGTGGGGGTGCTAAATGGTACGCCAGAGGCGAAAAAAATCAGCGATATCCATGAACGCAGAACAGGACCTATTTGTACGGCCGTTGATTTTCGCTCATGGACGGGCAACGGCTCAGACAGCGGACGTATGGACGAGTTACCGCAACGCGTTTGGTGGCACCATGCCAAACCATGCTCCAGTCGAGTTGCTCCAGTTGTGCCGCTGCTGGCAACGCAGCTCGTCCAAATCACCAACTAAACTAGTGGGCGGATCGCTTTTGGGGGCGGAGTGCTTTTAAGTCCTGCTCAGCAACCAGCGCACCTTTCGTCGTGAAAGCGCTACACCTCGCTTCCTTGGCAGCCAAGTAACTGCTTCTGTGTGGCAC